GGTGATCATGTCCCCCCTAACTCTTCTGTCTTCCAGCGAAGTGAGGTTTAATTCCCGTAGTCTCTCCTCGTAGCTCATACCTCTCAGCTCGGGTACTAGTCTGGTGGCAAACCTTTGAACCTTTTCCAGTTTAGTCTTATCCTTGACTAGATATGGACTCCATGCTGGGGCTGCATACTCCAGGATTGGCCTGACATATGTGGTATACAAAGTTCTGAATGATTCTTTACACAAGTTTCTGAATGCCGTTCGTATGTTGGCCAGCCTGGCATATGCCGCTGATGTTATCCTCTTGATATGTGCTGCAGGAGACAGGTCTGGCGTGATATCAACCCCCAAGTCTTTTTCTTTCTCTGACTCCTGAAGAATTTCCTCTCCCAGATGATACCTTGTATCTGGCCTCCTGCTCCCTACACCTATCTTCATTACATTACATTTGGTTGGGTTAAACTCTAACAACCATTTGTTCGACCATTCCTTCAGTTTGTCTAGGTCTTCTTGAAGCCTCAAACAGTCCTCTTCTGTCTTAATCCTTCTCATAATTTTGGCATCGTCCGCAAACATTGAGAGAAATGAATCTATACCCTCCGGGAGATCATTTACATATATCAGAAACAAGATAGGACCGAGTACAGAGCCCTGTGGGACTCCACTGGTGACTTCACGCCAATCGGAGGTCTCACCCCTCACCGTAACTCTCTGCTTCCTATTGCTTAGGTACTCCCTTATCCACTGGAGCACCTTACCAGCTACACCTGCCTGTCTCTCCAGCTTATGTACCAGCCTCTTATGCGGTACTGTGTCAAAGGCTTTCCGACAATCCAAGAAAATGCAGTCCGCCCAGCCCTCTCTTTCTTGCTTAATCTGTGTTACCTGGTCATAGAATTCTATTAAGCCAGTCAGGCAAGATTTACCCTCCCTGAACCCATGTTGTCGATTTGTCACGAAGTCCCTTCTCTCCAGATGTGTTACCAGGTTTTTTCTCACGATCTTCTCCATCACCTTGCATGGTATACAAGTCAAGGACACTGGCCTGTAGTTCAGTGCCTCTTGCCTGTCGCCCTTTTTGTATATTGGGACCACATTCGCCGTCTTCCATATTTCTGGCAGGTCTCCCGTCTCCAGTGACCTACTATACACTATGGAGAGTGGCAAGCAAAGTGCCTCTGCACACTCTTTCAGTACCCATGGTGAGATCCCGTCTGGACCAACAGCCTTTCTAACATCCAGGTCCAGCAGGTGTCTCTTGACCTCCTCTCTCGTAATTTCGAACTCTTCCAAGGCCGCCTGGTTTACTTCCCTTTCTCCTAGCACAGTGACCTCAGCCTTGTTCTGTTGTGAAGACCTCTTGGAACCTCTTGTTGAGTTCTTCACACACCTCTTTGTCATTCTCTGTATACCTGTCCTCGCCTGTTCTAAGTTTCACTACCTGTTCTTTCACTGTTGTTTTCCTTCTGATGTGACTGTGGAGTAGCTTTGGTTCGGTCTTGGCTTTGTTTGCTATATCATTTTCATAACTTTTCTCTGCTTCTCTTCTCACCCTGACATACTCATTCCTGGTTCTCTGGTATCTCTCTCTGCTTTCTGGTGTTCTGTTATTCCGGAAGTTCCTCCACGCCCTTTTGTTCAGTTTCTTTGCTTCCATACATGCCCTATTATACCATGGATTCTTCTTTTGCTTCTCGGATTTTTCCCTTTGGGCCGGGATGAACCTGTTTACTGCCTCCTGACACTTTTGGGTAACATAGTCCATCATATCTTGTACAGACTTATCTCTGAGGTCTGTGTCCCAAGGTATTTCCCTTAGGAAGCTTCTCATCTCCTCATAATTCCCCTTTCGGTATGCCAGCCTTTTCCTAGTTCTTTTTTTTGGGGGGGAGATAATTCCTAGCTCTACCAGGTACTCAAAGTTCAATACACTGTGATCACTCATTCCCAAGGATGCTTCCATCTTGACTTCCCTTATATCCCACTCATTTAGGGTAAATATCAGATCAAGCATTGCTGGTTCACACATTGTGTGTGTGTGTGAGCGTGTGGGCGTATGAGTGCGCGTGCTTGTGAGTGTGTGTGTGGGCGTATGAGTGTGTGTGTGTGTGTGTGTGTGTGTGTGTGTGTGTGTGTGTGTGTGTGTGTGTGTGTGTGTGTGTGTGTGTGTCTGTGTGAGTGTGTGTGTGTGTATGAGTGTGTGTGTGTGTGTGTGTGTGTGTGTGTGTGTGTGTGTGTGTATGTGTGTGTGTGTGTGTGTGTGTGTGTGTGTGTGTGTGTGTGTATGTGTGTCTTGTGTGTGTGTGGGCGTATGAGTGTGTGTGTGTGTGTGTGTGTGTGTGTACTCACCTATATGTACTCACCTATATGTGCTTGCAGGATCGAGCATTGACTCTTGGATCCCGCCTTTCTAGCTATCGGTTGTTTACAGCAATGACTCCTGTCCCATTTCCCTATCATACCTAGTTTTAAAAGTATGAATAGTATTTGCTTCCACAACCTGTTCCCCAAGTGCATTCCATTTTTCTACTACTCTCACGCTAAAAGAAAACTTCCTAACATCTCTGTGACTCATCTGAGTTTCCAGTTTCCACCCATGTCCCCTCGTTCTGTTATTATTACGTGTGAACATTTCATCTATTTCCACTTTGTCAATTCCCCTGAGTATTTTATATGTCCCTATCATATCTCCTCTCTCCCTTCTTTTCTCTAGTGTCGTAAGGTTCAGTTCCTTCAGCCGCTCTTCATATCCCATCCCTCGTAGCTCTGGGACAAGCCTCGTCGCAAACCTCTGAACCTTCTCCAGTTTCTTTATGTGTTTCTTCAGGTGGGGGCTCCATGATGGCGCGGCATACTCTAAGACGGGTCTCACGTAGGCAGTGTAAAGCGCCCTAAAAGCTTCCTCATTTAGGTTTCTGAATGAAGTTCTAATTTTCGCCAGTGTAGAGTACGCTGCTGTCGTTATCCTATTTATATGTGCCTCAGGAGTTAGATTAGGTGTCACATCCACTCCCAGGTCTCTTTCTCGAATCGTTACAGGTAGGCTGTTCCCCTTCATTGTGTACTGTCCCTTTGGTCTCCTGTCACCTGATCCCATTTCCATAACTTTACATTTACTGGTGTTAAACTCCAGTAGCCATTTCCCTGACCATCTCTGCAGCCTGTTTAAGTCCTCTTGGAGGATCCTACAATCCTCGTCTGTCACAACTCTTCTCATTAATTTTGCGTCATCTGCAAACATTGACATGTATGATTCCACTCCTGTAAACATATCATTTACGTAAATTAGAAAGAGGATTGGTCCCAGCACCGATCCTTGAGGTACTCCACTTGTTACTGTTCGCCAGTCCGACTTTTCGCCCCTTACCATTACCCTCTGGCTCCTTCCTGTTAGGTAGTTCTTCACCCATACTAGGGCCTTTCCGCTTACTCCTGCCTGCCTCTCAAGTTTGTATAGCAGTCTCATGTGCGGTACCGTATCAAAGGCCTTTTGGCAGTCAAGAAATATGCAGTCTGCCCAGCCTTCTCTGTCCTGCCTTATCCTTGTTACTTTATCATAGAATTCTAAAAGGTTTGTTAGGCATGATTTCCCTGTCCAGAACCCATGTTGGTGCTTGTTTACAAACCCAATGCTCTCCAGGTGCTCAACAAGTCTTAGCCTAATTATTCTTTCAAGTATTTTGCAGGGGATGCTTGTCAGTGATACGGGTCTGTAGTTAAGTGCCTCCTCCCTATCACCCTTTTTGAAAATCGGTACGACATTTGCCTCCTTCCAGCAACTGGGCAATTCTCCCGACATAAGTGACTCATTAAAGATCATTGCCAGAGGCACGCTGAGAGCCTGCGCTGCCTCTTTGAGTATCCACGGTGATACTTTGTCTGGTCCAACAGCTTTATTTGCATCCAGTGTTGTCAACTGTTTCATTACATCCTCTGCTGTCACCTCTATATCCGATAGTCTTTCATCTTGGGTAATCTCTTCTAACAATGGGAGCTGCTCAGGCTCGGTTGTGAACACTCCATGGAATTTTGCATTCAGTACCTCGCAGATTTCCTTGTCGCTTTCTGTATATGCCCCTTCTGTTTTCCTCAGTCTTGTCACTTGGTCATTTACCGACATCTTCCTTCTTATATGGCTATGTAGTAATTTTGGTTGCTTTTTCGCTTTGACTGCAATATCGTTCTCATAATTTCTTTCCGACACTCGTCTTATGTTAATGTAATCATTCCTAGCTCTGTTACATCTAATCCTGTTGTCCTCTGTCCTTTGTCTTCTGTACTTCCTCCACTCCCTCCTGCTTCTCACCTTTGCTTCCTGACACTGTCTATTAAACCATGGGTTATTATATTCCCTCCTGCTTTTTTCCTTTATTGTTGGAATAAATCTATCTTCAGCCTCCTTGCATTTCAATATGACTTGGTTCATCATACCTTGCACTGTTTTTCCTCTAAGTTCTTCCTCCCACTGCACTTCTCCCAGGTAGTCCCTTATCCTTCTGTAGTCCCCTTTTCTGTAATCAAGTCTCCTTTCCCGGACCTCTTGTCCTTTGGTCACAATTTTAAGCTCCATCATGTAGTCAAAGACTAGGACACAATGGTCACTAGCTCCTAGTGGTATTTCATGTTCCAACTGCTCGATGTCTTCTACATTCTGAGTGATAATGAGATCTAATAGGCTGGGCGTATCCCCTCCTCTTTCCCTAGTATCTTCTTTCACATGCTGTGTTAGGAAATTCCTGTCAATAACGTCTACCAGCTTCGCTCCCCAGGTCTCCTCCCCTCCTCCTCTGTGTGTGTGTGTGTGTGTGTGTGTGTGTGTGTGTGTGTGTGTGAGAGAGAGAGAGAGCGTGTGGGCGTATGAGTGCGCGTGAGTGTGTGTGTGTGTGTGTGTCGAGGTGCGTGTATACATAACTCTCCTGGTCGGTGTGCATAGTAATAGACAAAATATAGCGTCGTGGCGGAGGAGCGGCTGTGGACGACGGCCTCTCAACACGCCACAAAAATGACAGAGAATGGAGCAAGATTTTCCCGCGGTCCCTGGCGGCGGCGGCGGCGGCCACGAGGAAGGTCCCGCCGGGGTAAACTCTCCTGCCTAACATTTTATATTTTGGGTTCATTGAGCTGCGAGAGAGACGGAGCCGGAAGCCTCCCTTCCGGCTCCGTCTTGTTGTGTATGATGTTAATAATATACTGAATAAGAAGATGACTCTTTAGACGTGCTTTATCAAGGTGATAAAATTTAAGAAAATATATATGAAAAAGGAAGATAATTATATTAATTATATATAAAGGAAGATATTTGGTTGTGAAAATATATAATAGGCATTTGTGTATGAAATTGTTATGTCTTTGAAGCGATTGTCTTTTCCCCTCACAATCTTCAAGACGACGGAGGAATAACTAATGTCTAGGGAAAGATATTAGAGATATAAACAATAAAATGATAGATGCTGGACCCAAGTTTATAAAGAACATAAAGGGTGTTTAATGGTAATACCCAAGATTGTGTGAATTCCTTCAACTGCCCATAGTGGAGATCCATGAAAGGTCTCAAGTCTTTGTTGGCCATCGGCTTGGTACCTCTAAGACTATTAAGTTATACAGAGTAGTCTTACGCATTATAGATTTCAAGGAAGTTAGAGAGGTTCTAGAATTGCCCTTAAAAGGAATGAATACAATTTATATAGTGGGCCATTCTCTCTATTAATATTGAAATTATTTTCATATATTTTTTGGGGGGACTTTTACACTTAAAATAACTTGAACCAAGAGTTTTAGTTTATGGGTTAAACTGTAACTTTTATGTATATGTGAAAACGTTCATTATGTTAGGAAAATTACCATTTAACTTTGTACTGCATCATGTGAACATTGAACCAAAACTTGGCACTCGGGGATAGGTGAGTGTTGACGCACATGGATAGTTTTTGACCCTGTCTTCACCCTGCCCCCTCTCACCCTGCCCCCCTCTCACCCTATCCTCACCCTGCCCCCCCCCCCTCACCCTGCTCCCTCTCACCCTATCCTCACCCTGCCCCCTCTCACCCTGCCCCCTCTCACCCTGTCCTCACCCTGCCCCCTCTCACCCTATCCTCACCCTGCCCCCCCCCTCACCCTGCCCCCTCTCACTCTATCCTCACCCTGCCCCCTCTCACCCTATCCTCACCCTATCCTCACCCTGCCCCCCCTCACCCTATCCTCACCCTGCCCCCCCTCACCCTATCCTCACCCTGCCCCCCCTCACCCTATCCTCACCCTGCCCCCCCTCACCCTATCCTCACCCTGCCCCCTCTCACCCTATCTTCACCCTGCCCCCTTTCACCCTATCCACACCCTAGTTGCACCCTCTCACCCTATCCTCACCCTGCCCCTCTCACCCTATCCTCACCCTGCCCCTCACCCTATCCTCACCCTATCCCTATCCTCACCTGCCCCTCTCACCCTATCCTCACCCTGCCCCTCTCAACCTATCCTCACCCTGTCCCTCACCCTGCCTCCTCACCCTATCCCTATCCTCACCCTGCCCTTCTCACCCTATCCTCACCCTGCCCCTCACCCTATCCTCACCCTGCCCCTCACCCTATCCTCACCCTGCCCCTCACCCTGCCCTTCTCACCCTATCCTCACCCTGCCCCTCACCCTATCCTCACCCTGCCCCTCACCCTATCCTCACCCTGCCCCTCACCCTGCCCTTCTCACCCTATCCTCACCCTGCCCCCCCCCCCCACCCTGCCCCCTCTCACCCTATCCTCACCCTGCCCCCCCCACCCTGCCCCCTCTCACCCTATCCTCACCCTGCCCCCTCTCACCCTATCCTCACCCTATCCTCACCCTCACCCTATCCTCACCCTGCCCCCTCTCACCCTATCTTCACCCTGCCCCCTTTCACCCTATCCACACCCTAGTTGCACCCTCTCACCCTATCCTCACCCTGCCCCTCACCCTATCCTCACCCTGCCCCCTCACCCTATCCCTATCCTCACCTGCCCCTCACCCTATCCTCACCCTGCCCCTCTCAACCTATCCTCACCCTGCCCCTCACCCTATCTTCACCCTGCCCCTCACCCTGCCCTTCTCACCCTATCCTCACCCTGCCCCAGGTTAGTACACCAGTACTAACAGTACAGGTTATCCTCAAGATAACCTGCCCCCTCTCACCCTATCCTCTCCCTGACCCTCTCACCCTGCCCCCCTATCCTCACCCTGCCCCTCACCCTATCCTCACCCTGCCCCTCACCCTATCCTCACCCTGCCTCTCACCCTATCCTCACCCTGCCTCTCACCCTATCCTCACCCTGCCTCTCACCCTCTCCTCACCCTGCCTCTCACCCTATCCTCGTGCCACCAGGGTGTGGTGTGGACGCCTCGGCCACTTGAGGACGAGGGCGGCCAAACTGCCTCCTGCCTCTCCTTAAGTGACGGCGACAATGCAAATTCCCGGTACACAGTGCCGAGCCTCACCAGCCCAGCCTCACCTGCCCAGCCTCACCAGTCCAGCCTCACCAGCCTCACCAGCCCAGCCTCACCAGCCCAGCCTCACCAGCCCAGCCTCACCAGTCCAGCCTCACCAGCCCAGCCTCACCAGCCCAGCCTCACCAGCCTCACCAGCCTCACCAGCCCAGCCTCACCAGCCTCACCAGCCTCACCAGCCCAGCCTCACCAGCCCAGCCTCACCAGCCTCACCAGCCCAGCCTCACCAGTCCAGCCTCACCAGTCCAGCCTCACCAGCCCAGCCTCACCAGCCCAGCCTCACCAGCCCAGCCTCACCAGCCCAGCCTCACCAGTCCAGCCTCACCAGCCTCACCAGCCCAGCCTCACCAGCCCAGCCTCACCAGTCCAGCCTCACCAGCCCAGCCTCACCAGCCCAGCCTCACCAGCCCAGCCTCACCAGCCCAGCCTCACCAGTCCAGCCTCACCAGCCTAGCCTCACCAGCCCAGCCTCACCAGCCCAGCCTCACCAGTCCAGCCTCACCAGTCCAGCCTCACCAGCCCAGCCTCACCAGCCCAGCCTCACCAGCCTAGCCTCACCAGCCCAGCCTCACCAGCCCAGCCTCACCAGTCCAGCCTCACCAGTCCAGCCTCACCAGCCCAGCCTCACCAGCCCAGCCTCACCAGCCCAGCCTCACCAGCCCAGCCTCACCAGCCCAGCCTCACCAGCCCAGCCTCACCAGCCCAGCCTCACCAGCCCAGCCTCACCAGCCCAGCCTCACCAGCCCAGCCTCACCAGCCGAGCCTCACCAGCCTAGCCTCACCAGCTGATGGAGAAGATTGTGTGAAAACATGCTAGTGGAACATTTGGAGAGAGAGACCTGTGTAACACAGCATCAACATGGGTTCAGGGATGGCAGGTCCTGCCTCACAGGGTTACTTCAATTCTACGACCAGGCAACAAAAATTAGGCAAGAGACAGAGGGCTGGACAGACTGCATATTTTTGGATTGCCAGAAAGCCTTTGACACAGTACCACATAAGAGACTATTGAGGGGGAGCAGACCACACACACGTCAGGAAGACCACAGTCATGTCAGGAAGACCACACACACGTCAGGAAGACCACACACACGTCAGGACGACCACACACATGTCAGGAGGACCACACACATGTCAGGAGGACCACACACATGTCAGGAGGACCACACACATGTCAGGAAGACCACACACATGTCAGGAAGACCACACACATGTCAGGAAGACCACAGTCATGTCAGGAAAACCACACACATGTCAGGAAGACCACAGTCATGTCAGGAAAACCACAGTCATGTCAGGAAGACCACAGTCATGTCAGGAAAACCACAGTCATGTCAGGAAGACCACAGTCATGTCAGAAAGACCACACACATGTCAGGAAGACCACACACATGTCAGGAAGACCACACACATGTCAGGAAGACCACACACATGTCAGGAAAACCACATACATGTCAGGAAGACCACAGTCATGTCAGGAAGACCACACACATGTCAGGAAGACCACACACATGTCAGGAAGACCACAGTCATGTCAGGAAAACCACAGTCATGTCAGGAAAACCACAGTCATGTCAGGAAGACCACAGTCATGTCAGGAAGACCACAGTCATGTCAGGAAAACCACAGTCATGTCAGGAAGACCACAGTCATGTCAGGAAGACCACAGTCATGTCAGGAGGACCACACACATGTCAGGAAGACCACAGTCATGTCAGGAAGACCACAGTCATGTCAGGAAGACCACAGTCATGTCAGACAGACTAAGCAGTATTCTCTTTTACTGATATATCAATATTCACTGTTAACGGAGCCTCTGCTTTCTATTTTCCACTATATCTTAGGTGCTCTTATCTACCTTTCCCACACCCTCTCCCTTCCTCTCCCCCCAACCCTTCCCATCACCCCCTCCCTTCTACTGTCTCCCAGCGCCCCTTCCCACGGCTCGGCTACTCTTCCACCAAGCTCCCAGCGCCCCTGCCCTTCCCACGGCTCGGCTACTCTTCCACCAAGCTCCCAGCGCCCCTTCCCACGGCTCGGCTACTCTTCCACCAAGCTCCCAGCGCCCCTGCCCTTCCCACAGCTCGGCTACTCTTCCACCAAGCTCCCAGCGCCCCTTCCCACGGCTCGGCTACTCTTCCACCAAGCTCCCAGCTCCCCTGCCCTTCCCACAGCTCGGCTACTCTTCCACCAAGCTCCCAGCGCCCCTTCCCACAGCTCGGCTACTCTTCCACCAAGCTCCCAGCGCCTCTTCCCACGGCTCGGCTACTCTTCCACCAAGCTCCCAGTGCCCCTTCCCACGGCTCGGCTACTCTTCCACCAAGCTCCCAGCGCCCCTTCCCACGGCTCGGCTACTCTTCCACCAAGCTCCCAGCGCCCCTTCCCACAGCTCGGCTACTCTTCCACCAAGCTCCCAGCGCCCCTTCCCACGGCTCGGCTACTCTTCCACCAAGCTCCCAGCGCCCCTTCCCACGGCTCGGCTACTCTTCCACCAAGCTCCCAGCGCCTCTTCCCACGGCTCGGCTACTCTTCCACCAAGCTCCCAGCGCCCCTTCCCACGGCTCGGCTACTCTTCCACCAAGCTCCCAGCGCCCCTTCCCACGGCTCGGCTACTCTTCCACCAAGCTCCCAGCGCCCCTTCCCACGGCTCGGCTACTCTTCCACCAAGCTCCCAGCGCCCCTGTCCTTCCCACGGCTCGGCTACTCTTCCACCAAGCTCCCAGCGCCCCTGCCCTTCCCACAGCTCGGCTACTCTTCCACCAAGCTCCCAGCGCCCCTTCCCACGGCTCGGCTACTCTTCCACCAAGCTCCCAGCGCCCCTGTCCTTCCCACGGCTCGGCTACTCTTCCACCAAGCTCCCAGCGCCCCTTCCCACGGCTCGGCTACTCTTCCACCAAGCTCCCAGCGCCCCTTCCCACGGCTCGGCTACTCTTCCACCAAGCTCCCAGCGCCCCTTCCCACGGCTCGGCTACTCTTCCACCAAGCTCCCAGCGCCTCTTCCCACGGCTCGGCTACTCTTCCACCAAACTCCCAGCGCCCCTTCCCACGGCTCGGCTACTCTTCCACCAAGCTCCCAGCGCCCCTTCCCACGGCTCGGCTACTCTTCCACCAAGCTCCCAGCGCCCCTTCCCACGGCTCGGCTACTCTTCCACCAAGCTCCCAGCGCCCCTTCCCACGGCTCGGCTACTCTTCCACCAAGCTCCCAGCGCCCCTTCCCACGGCTCGGCTACTCTTCCACCAAGCTCCCAGCGCCCCTTCCCACGGCTCGGCTACTCTTCCACCAAGCTCCCAGCGCCCCTTCCCACGGCTCGGCTACTCTTCCACCAAGCTCCCAGCGCCCCTTCCCACGGCTCGGCTACTCTTCCACCAAGCTCCCAGCGCCCCTTCCCACGGCTCGGCTACTCTTCCACCAAGCTCCCAGCAACTCAATGAAATTCATCTGAAAATTAATTATTGGGGACAAAGGTTCACGAGAAAATTGGTTTAAACTTCGTTGTCTCTTACGCCGAGCACATCAAACGGTGCCCCTATGGTGACAGTGAAGGGTGCAGTGATGTGTAGCTAGCAGTGACACAGTGCTGGGGGCTGGTGTTGTGTGTAGCTGACAGTGACACAGTGCTGGGGGCTGGTGTTGTGTGTAGCTGACAGTGACACAGTGCTGGTGGCTGGTGTTGTGTGTAGCTGACAGTGACACAGTGCTGGTGGTGTGTGTAGCTGACAGTGACACAGTGCTGGGGGCTGGTGTTGTGTGTGGCTGACAGTGACACAGTGCTGGTGGTGTGTGTAGCTGACAGTGACACAGTGCTGGTGGCTGGTGTTGTGTGTAGCTGACAGTGACACAGTGCTGGGGGCTGGTGTTGTGTGTAGCTGACAGTGACACAGGGCTGGTGGTGTGTGTAGCTGACAGTGACACAGTGCTGGGGGCTGGTGTTGTGTGTAGCTGACAGTGACACAGTGCTGGTGGCTGGTGGTGTGTGTAGCTGACAGTGACACAGTGCTGGGGGCTGGTGTTGTGTGTAGCTGACAGTGACACAGTGCTGGTGGCTGGTGGTGTGTGTAGCTGACAGTGACACAGTGCTGGGGGCTGGTGTTGTGTGTAGCTGACAGTGACACAGTGCTGGTGGCTGGTGGTGTGTGTAGCTGACAGTGACACAGTGCTAGGGGCTGGTGTTGTGTGTAGCTGACAGTGACACAGTGCTGGTGTGTGTAGCTGACAGTGACACAGTGCTGGTGGCTGGTGTTGTGTGTAGCTGACAGTGACACAGTGCTGGTGGTGTGTGTAGCTGACAGTGACACAGTGCTGGTGGCTGGTGGTGTGTGTAGCTGACAGTGACACAGTGCTGGGGGCTGGTGTTGTGTGTAGCTGACAGTGACACAGTGCTGAGGGCTGGTGTTGTGTGTAGCTGACAGTGACACAGTGCTGGTGGCTGGTGTTGTGTGTAGCTGACAGTGACACAGTGCTGAGGGCTGGTGTTGTGTGTAGCTGACAGTGACACAGTGCTGAGGGCTGGTGGTGTGTGTAGCTGACAGTGACACAGTGCTGGTGTTGTGTGTAGCTGACAGTGACACAGTGCTGGTGGCTGGTGTTGTGTGTAGCTGACAGTGACACAGTGCTGGGGGCTGGTGGTGTGTGTAGCTGACAGTGACACAGTGCTGGGGGCTGGTGGTGTGTGTAGCTGACAGTGACACAGTGCTGGTGGTGTGTGTAGCTGACAGTGACACAGTGCTGGTGGCTGTTGTGTGTCGCTGACAGTGACACAGTGCTGGGGGCTGGTGTTATGTGTAGCTGACAGTGACACAGTGCTGGTGGTGTGTGTAGCTGACAGTGACACAGTGCTAGTGGCTGGTGTTGTGTGTAGCTGACAGTGACACAGTGCTGAGGGCTGGTGTTGTGTGTAGCTGACAGTGACACAGTGCTGAGGGCTGGTGGTGTGTGTAGCTGACAGTGACACAGTGCTGGTGTTGTGTGTAGCTGACAGTGACACAGTGCTGGTGGCTGGTGTTGTGTGTAGCTGACAGTGACACAGTGCTGGGGGCTGGTGGTGTGTGTAGCTGACAGTGACACAGTGCTGACAGGGGCTGGTGGTGTGTGTAGCTGACAGTGACACAGTGCTGGTGGTGTGTGTAGCTGACAGTGACACAGTGCTGGTGGCTGTTGTGTGTCGCTGACAGTGACACAGTGCTGGGGGCTGGTGTTATGTGTAGCTGACAGTGACACAGTGCTGGTGGTGTGTGTAGCTGACAGTGACACAGTGCTAGTGGCTGGTGTTGTGTGTAGCTGACAGTGACACAGTGCTGGTGGCTGGTGGTGTGTGTAGCTGACAGTGACACAGTGCTGGTGTTGTGTGTAGCTGACAGTGACACAGTGCTGGTGGCTGGTGTTGTGTGTAGCTGACAGTGACACAGTGCTGGTGGCTGGTGTTGTGTGTAGCTGACAGTGACACAGTGCTGGTGGCTGGTGTTGTGTGTAGCTGACAGTGACACAGTGCTGGTGGCTGGTGTTGTGTGTAGCTGACAGTGACACAGTGCTGGTGGCTGGTGGTGTGTGTAGCTGACAGTGACACAGTGCTGGTGGCTGGTGTTGTGTGTAGCTGACAGTGACACAGTACTGGTGGCTGGTGTTGTGTGTAGCTGACAGTGACACAGTGCTGGTGGCTGGTGTTGTGTGTAGCTGACAGTGACACAGGGCTGGTGTTGTGTGTCGCTGACAGTGACACAGTGCTGGTGGTGTGTGTAGCTGACAGTGACACAGTGCTGGTGGTGTGTGTAGCTGACAGTGACACAGTGCTGGTGGTGTGTGTAGCTGACAGTGACACAGTGCTGGTGTTGTGTGTAGCTGACAGTGACACAGTGCTGGGGGCTGGTGTTGTGTGTAGCTGACAGTGACACAGTGCTGGGGGCTGGTGTTGTGTGTAGCTGACAGTGACACAGTGCTGGTGGCTGGTGTTGTGTGTAGCTGACAGTGACACAGTGCTGGGGGCTGGTGGTGTGTGTGGCTGACAGTGACACAGTGCTGGTGGTGTGTGTAGGCTGACAGTGACACAGTGCTGGTGTTGTGTGTTGCTGACAGTGACACAGTGCTGGTGGCTGGTGGTGTGTGTAGCTGACAGTGACACAGTGCTGGGGGCTGGTGGTGTGTGTCGCCGACAGTGACACAGTGCTGAGGGCTGCTCTGATATATAGCTGGCAGTGACTAAGCACTGACCTTCAGTGACTTGAAGCACTGAGCTGCAGTGACTTAAGACAGCCTGAGAGAAATCACTTTAAAAAACACTGAAAGAAGCAGCAGTAATATTTTCACTGTCAATGACGTATTGCTTCCATTATAATATTGTCCCCAAAAGCAGAAACACTTTAATATATGACAAACAATAATCCTCACTCAGTCTCGGGAGTGAACGCACTCATCTGGGAGGCGACGCGCTCACAGACTCAAGGCACTCATCTGGGAGGCGACGAGCTCACAGACTCAACGCACTCATCTGGGAGGCGACGAGCTCACAGACTCAAGGCACTCATCTGGGAGGCGACGAGCTCACAGACTCAAGGCACTCATCTGGGAGGCGACGAGCTCACAGACTCAAGGCACTCATCTGGGAGGCGACGAGCTCACAGACTCAAGGCACTCATCTGGGAGGCTACGAGCTCACAGACTCAAGGCACTCATCTGGGAGGCTACGAGCTCACAGACTCAAGGCACTCATCTGGGAGGCACTCAAGGCACTCATCTGGGAGGCGACGAGCTCACACACTCAAGGCACTCATCTGGGAGGCGACGAGCTCACAGACTCAAGGCACTCATCTGGGAGGCGACGCGCTCACAGACTCAGCACTCTGGAGGACAATAGTGAAGTTAGATGCAACAAGAATACTGAAATATAATTAAAATAGTTTATGTAAATAATTTTACGAAGAACGTACACGTTTGAAGGGGGAACTTATGTGAGTTGGTTTAATACGTAAACCCTTAAACTGCTGAATACGCAATAAGCACTGGAGGCTAGGTATTATCAGGGGAATGCGCCAAGCCGTTATAAGTATTTAGCACTGGGAAAGGGGTCAGGATAAGGATTTGGGATGGGACGGAGGGGAAGGAATGGTGCCCAACCACTTGGACGGACTAGTTCAGCCCTCACAGTTCGCTAGTTCAACTGGTAGATTAGTTTTCCAACTTGAAATGATCATCAGGGTGTATGGAGGGGGGAGAACCTTTCACAAGCCGCCATTTACAAGTCAATGGTAAGTTATCAAGAACTAACGATAGCGTGTAATAGTGCAAGGAATAAAGGCGGGTAAACGAGAATCGATAATACCTTCAACATATTATCTATATATCATATTATCATATTATCTATCGAAGTCTAACTACACTTGTGTACACAGCGTCTCACACAGGACACTTAGTATATCTGCAGTGTTCTTCAAACTCCTGTGAGTCCACTATCTTCAAGTATACGTCGTGCACGATGTCCCAGTACACCACATGTGCTCTCCAGAAACACACTGGATAAGCACCTCCAAAGGATATCTGATCAACCAGGCTGTGACGCATACGTCAGGCTGCGAGCAGCCGCGTCCAACATTCTGGTTGATCAGTCCGGCAACCAGGAGGCCTGGTCGACGACCGGGCCGCGGGGACACTAAGCCCCGGAAGCACCTCAAGGACACCCCCTCAGCAACACACTGACAGGCGTCACAAATAATCACTTCCAGAGGTCTCTAACACCCTGGCAGAAGTGTCTAACAACACACTAGCAGAGGTCTCTAACACCCTGGCAGAAGTGTCTAGCAACACACTAGCAGAGGTCTCTAACACCCTGGCAGAAGTGTCTAACAACACACTAGCAGAGGTCTCTAACACCCTGGCAGAAGTGTCTAGCAACACACTAGCAGAGGTCTCTAACACCCTGGCAGAAGTGTCTAGCAACACACTAGCAGAGGTCTCTAACACCCTGGCAGAAGTGTCTAGCAACACACTAGCAGAGGTCTCTAACACCCTGGCAGAAGTGTCTAGCAACACACTAGCAGAGGTCTCTAACACCCTGGCAGAAGTGTCTAGCAACACACTAGCAGAGGTCTCTAACACCCTGGCAGAAGTGTCTAGCAACACACTAGCAGAGGTCTCTAACACCCTGGCAGAAGTGTCTAGCAACACACTAGCAGAGGTCTCTAACACCCTGGCAGAAGTGTCTAGCAACACACTAGCAGAGGTCTCTAACACCCTGGCAGAAGTGTCTAGCAACACACTAGCAGAGGTCTCTAACACCCTGGCAGAAGTGTCTAGCAACACACTAGCAGAGGTCTCTAACACCCTGGCAGAAGTGTCTAGCAACACACTAGCAGAGGTCTCTAACACCCTGGCAGAAGTGTCTAGCAACACACTAGCAGAGGTCTCTAACACCCTGGCAGAAGTGTCTAGCAACACACTAGCAGAGGTCTCTAACACCCTGGCAGAAGTGTCTAGCAACACACTAGCAGAGGTCTCTA